ACGTATTTTGACATCTGTACTTTTCCTTCGTAAAATAGGTTGTGAAGCTCCTTACGCATAATCTTCGGACCATATTTCACTCACATAGTAGCCAAGTGAAGTTTAGCTAGGAGGGCAAGATTGCAACAACAGATGCATGCCATATTCGGTATGACGCCTTGATCACCCAAGATCAACGCAGCTTTGAACTCCTACATTGAGAATGAATCCAAGATCTTACTCAATGCGCCTGTTTTGTTCATCCCTTTCCAGGATGGAAGAATTGAGAAGCGGATTAAAGTAGGTGGGCTTTTGAGAAACCAATCAGGAAAACCTTAACTTTCAGCACCTACTTAAATGGATCGGGAAAAGGGGAGAACGCTAACTCACCTCAATCCAACGAAGACAAAAAGCGGCAGAGATAGATAGAGGAGCCTTTTCAAAGAAGACTTGAAGACGTTTGAATGCCAAACTGCGTACCTCCTCCAGCTGATCACCAATGCATGTCAAAATCAATTTCTAAGTTGGCAAAAAGAAAGAAATTAATCCTGTTTTTTCCTGTTTTCAAGGCCTCTCGGTGATAAGGCGATCGATGCCGAAACGCATGCAACTATTTTTGGGTTGCAACCAATGCAAGGTGGGAAACAACTTGAAATTACAAAAACTATCAATCATCTCCAAGAAAGTCAAGGCGATGATCTGGTTGCAATATTATGACCATAACATTAATTCTCGACGAAACATTGATATTGATGACATTCGTTGACATTGTCACCCCAATTTCTTCTCCCAAATAATCTCTCCTTGAGGATAGAGGATTTTAGAGTGCTCTTTCTTCGCTTTACGGGTGAAAAGATGAGGAATGAGGATGAGGAAGGAGAAAGTTCGTAGGATAAAGTGTTATACTTTATTGGTATGTGTACCTAACAAGGAGGGCACCACAGGGACTGACAGGAGGGAAGGCTGAAACGGCGAAAAGTTTGCGAAGCTTAGGCTGGAGTACACTGACACCAAGCCTTGGCGTTATCGTTCTAAGGTCACTAGAGGTTTGCTTGCGACAAAGTCCATTTAAACACTACTAATTAAAAGTATCTGCCTTTTGCAAAACAAGGTCAACCCATGGTTGAGCAGATGTGTCCGCAAACGATGCGAAGGGTGTAGACACCTGCATATGTTTAATCAACCATATTCTATTGTTTTAGCGTTCCTAGGCTTAGTGACAGGAAATAGGCGGCATTGGTAGACTCAAGAAGTTATACTTTTCTGCAAAACTTGGAAGGGAGGAGAAAGATCCGCCTTATTCAAACTTATTTTCAAAATTTGGGTTCTACATTTCAAATTTCGTTTCCAGCATGGCTATATTATTCTTAATGTGAAGATGGCAAAAGTAATATCTAAAGAAAGTAGCCCACAGGTTGTTGTAAACTTCAGAAATTGGTAAGCTAGTACTTAGACTCCTCCAGCGGCCACTAAACAGCCCATTTTCACATCAAAGCACTCCTTAATACACTAGATTACAGCATATATTTCGTATCTCCCACCGATTAAAGCGGAATAATTCAATGCGTAGGAGCTGGATCAGGGTTTTTCCTTCATTGATTTAACCTTGAGTACCACTTTCGCCCACTAAATAAGCAAATGCGTTACTGGATCGCTTCATAAATTTTAATTAGCAAATCCCTCTTGATTAAACGCACCTTGTTAATGATAATAACTATGAATATCACCTTTTCTCGCAGTCAATGAAAAAACTCACTTCAATCGCAGATCTCAACTGATCGATTGCCTTTTGGTTGCTTTTTTGTTCAACTAGTGCACATTTTGATTCCATCACAGTTGAAACCCACTCATCTGCGGAAACAGTATCACTTTGTTCCTCATTTGTCACTTCGGAGATTGAACTAAGATCTCCAGCCTCCGAGAGACCATCAAAAGAGCCACCCCTTCCGAGGACAGATGATGATTTGACATTGAAATTAAGGCT